CCCTGCGAGGTAACTTCATGAAATCATTTGCAAAATTCTGAGTACCGGTAACATCTCGGGAGTCAGGAATGTCTGCTGCATCAAAATACTAAATAAATAAAAAAATCAGCATACTATTATATTGTATATTGTGAACCAAATACTTGCATGGTACATTATATTTGTACAAGTGAGACAAATTTACTCAGGAAATGCTTAAACATTATGTAATTTAAAGTTGTTAAACTAACATTGGTGTACATTAGTGTTATGCCGTATTTGAAATCATTCAATGACAACCCCTACAAGTATATAACATGAAGAAGTATCCATTCTTAACCAAGTCACATATTCACTCATTGGCATTTTTGATGATCACCAGGGCAGGGTATTGGGAGTTGTCCATTTCCTCTCCATCTGAGTCAGAGTCTGAGTCAGAGTCACAGTCCCCAGTCCATGCCTCAGTCACTATCACTTTGCTCAGAGACACTATCAGCTAGAATCTTGCTATCAGTAACCTCTCAATCAATGTCCTTGTCCAACTGTATTGCTTCACGAGCTGCTGGTTCCTTACTCTGGATAGATATTAGAAGCTCTTGTCCTTCGTTCTTCTAAATTCCCTTCGTTCCATATTACTGTTATATATTTGGTACGTCTTATCCTCATATACGAAATGGTGGCAACCAGACACAGTCAAGTTTCTTGACATTAGGCAAGGGCTTCTCCTGCAGAAGAAATATGACTAAATACTGATAAAAATAAGACTAAATGCATATAGTGACAAAAAGGAGATTAATATTTTTCTCTGTGCAGCTCCTTCATTAAGGATTCGGGTATTCGGGGCTAAAATGCAGATAAAGGCCTGAAAAAAAAATAGTCCTGCCTATTGAAAATCAGATGTTGATGCATCATTGTCACAATTCACTTTTTTTTTAAATCGACAGCTGTTTGTCTCAGTTCCACGCATTCTGTTCCTTGCAAAGTAAGTGGGCTTGTAGCATCTTTATGAGGCTCCTCAGTTTTATGCATGATTCCTTCTTGAAGTTTCTCTGGCATATAGGGTCTGTCGAAAACACCACATAAGATGACAGAAAGGCTAGAACTTGGAAGGTAATGTATCAGAGTAACAGTAATGCTGTATTAGCAGATTAACCTGCTTAGTGTCATAGGAGTGTCAAAACAGTCCTTTTTGTCCTTTTTGTTCCCTGAGGATCAACTAAATCCCAAAACAAACATAGGATTGATAAGAGAATACAGGATAATTTTCACGTACAAAACATTTATTTATTATATATGGGACCAGCAATATACACAATTTTGTTGGAAAAAACTGATTGATTTTAAATCAGCATCCATCCAATGGACATTCTAAAGACTCCAAAAGAGTAAGATCTACAGGGTCACTATTAACAGCTGGGAAGTGATATCACAAAAAAACTTAAATCTTTGTATTATTATCTCTGCCTTGAAATGACAAATCAGCAATGGAGTATGTAAATACAACTTACCTTCGTGAAAGAGAAAATAGAAACATCAAATCGACTGAAGCAGTGCTGCAAAAATGGCTTCGTTGCTACAAGCAACTGTTCCACATGCAATGTACATGTGCAAGCATATAGTGGTAGAAATGACCCCACCACTGAAAATGACTAGCAATGGCCATCCCGGACTCGCAGGACCCAACTCACAACTTTGCTAAGGATTTCATTAGGTTACCTCGCAAGCTGATCAAGTTCATCTCTGGGTTATTGCTGATTACTGGCTGGGATACCCCACCCACTGTGCAGTACACATGGCATCAAACCTCTTCAATTTCTTTTCTTCAATTCCAATTCCTTGGGGGGAGGGGGTTTACCTAACAAAGCTAATGTAGATCATTTCATTGCTTTCTTGGCCACACCCACCTCAGGATACCTGCTAGTGGTCTGGTTTCATGTTAAGGAATGTACATGGATCATAGGATATACATAGAAATTGATTACTGCTACCTTTTAGTAATGCATATTGTCAGGAATTTTTTGTACATCAATAAACGTTTTTTTAATTATTAAACACCATAACCTGGAATGTAACCTCAAAGTTAATGTTTAAGACACATTTTGTAATTACAGTCTGTTTATAATTTGAATATCACACTTGAACTGCGATATATTATTAATTATTTTATATATCAATTATATCAATTAATTAATTTTGTCTTTCTATTATTGTCTTCAAATGAGCAATTTAATCTCTACTAAAGGTTACCGAATGAGGTGCTTGTCTTTAAGAACGTGTTTATTTTTATTTATATTTTATTATATTTTTTTTTTCAATTCTTTGTTAGTTCTTTGGTTCGTCACCCAGACTACGCGAAAAGTTGTCGACGGATCGTGATGAAACTTTTCGATTGATCATATAAGATGGAAAAAGCTCTTCTTGAGTCTACTTTGATATCCATAAGAGACGAATACAAACATAAGAACCCAGGAAATGAAGACTGCTGCGTGTTGTTACACATACACGTGTATAATTTATAGATCATTTCATTGCTTTCTTGGCCACACCCACCTCAGGATACCTGCTAGTGGTCTGGTTTCATGTTAAGGAATGTACATGGATCATAGGATATACATAGAAATTGATTACTGCTACCTTTTAGTAATGCATATTGTCAGGAATTTTTTGTACATCAATAAACGTTTTTTTAATTATTAAACACCATAACCTGGAATGTAACCTCAAAGTTAATGTTTAAGACACATTTTGTAATTACAGTCTGTTTATAATTTGAATATCACACTTGAACTGCGATATATTATTAATTATTTTATATATCAATTATATCAATTAATTAATTTTGTCTTTCTATTATTGTCTTCAAATGAGCAATTTAATCTCTACTAAAGGTTACCGAATGAGGTGCTTGTCTTTAAGAACGTGTTTATTTTTATTTCTATTTTATTATATTTTTTTTTTTTTATGGATAAACAGAAAAGATACGGCCATTAGCAAGTTGTACAAAGATGCAAATTCTCATCTGGTCACTAGTAGATTATTTAGACTGAACTGTTGCAACTCTTTTAAAAACAAATAAGTCTAAAAAGTCTCCATACGTACTAGACGCATGATAATAATAATAAAACATTATAAAGGTGTTAAACAGATTAAAAAAGGGTATACCAACACGAGCGATTGATGCATTCACGAAGTCTAAAATGTCTCAATACGTACTAGACGCATGATAATAATAATAAAACGTTATAGAGGTGTTAAACAGATAAAAAAGGGTATACCAACACGAGCGATTGATGCATTCACGAAGATTAAGCGAAAAGTGAAGAGAATGACTGCTACCTCACGAAGACTGCGGAGGCGGAATGCGAGGGTAATGGTGATTCCTACTTACCTGGCCGCTTGAATATCAGCTTCTCGAGGCCCAAGACTGGAGCCTCTGCTGTAAGTGAGACCAGCACAGCCGTAATGATTGATATGAAGATTGTGCCGCAAGTCTGGATGATCTAGACGGACAAAAAAGTACATATATTCTGGGTAATTCACTCATAAATGCTGGAAAAAAAGTTTTCTCATTATAAAATCACCTATTTTCTCTGTTTACTTCTTACCTCTGTACATCTTTTAAACAATCCAAATTATTTATCGTTTCAACTCACCAAGCATGCATTGCTTGAGAAGAATACAAACAAACCTTGTCTATATGTGTAAAGAAGGGAAGTTCTTTAAGATTGTAAACCAGGTAGATCTGCACAGGGATGGCTACGAGGTACATACTGTACGTAAGGCGGGAGAGCGGTTGCCACGTAGGGTGAGAGAGAAAGTCGTTGACTATACCTGCAATAACCACCTTCGTTAGTCAGAGACAGGCATACTGTGCTATTTATCTGATACGAAATCCACGTAATAATGCATCCACAACACCCCCGCGGTGTATACGCACAGATCTCATGTCTCGCGAAAGAACAAGCACAAACCTCCATAGCCGAAGTGACAAGCCAACACGACCCAGGCCAGGGCGGCGCACCAGATGCCCCTGTGGAGGCCGCCGTACAGGACCTGGGTTATGGGGTCGTAGTAATAGGTGGTTTCGAACTGGTTGTAACTCCACATGCCAAACAACACTGACAGAGCCGAGAACGCGGCTATAGTCCAGCCAGTTAATACCTGCAGCTGATAACAAAGACAGTAGCGTGTAAAATAGAGGAATACCTGTGCTTAATTTCACTTGCCACAAAATTTCAATATTCGAGTGTATGAAATCTCAAAATTCAACACTTTGTATCTAATTCATTCGTAAGGTTGAATACTCTTTGAATTTTACAGGTGTCAGTTTAAGTTCCTTTGATCCCTGTTCGAAGATGATGTAGCCAGTCCAGATCCCCATGATGTAGGCACTCATGCGGCACCACGGAGTAAAGTACACCATATTTTGATAACCGTAGCTATCGACTTCACTGTATATTGTAAGAAGAAGAAAAAAATAACTATACGTCGAAAAAAAACTTATACGGTTACTTCAGAACAAATTCTCAGACTGAGAGAAGCATATACTCAAGATCTCAAGCACGATGTGAATAAGAAAACAAACAAATAAAAAACAAACTTACTCAGCACCGCCCGATATCGACGCTGGAGGAAGGTCGTAGCCGTAGATAACAGCCGCTGGGACGATGAAGGACACCAGAGTTACCACGAACAACAGGATCTTCCCTGGAATAAACAGAAGAGGAGAAGGCTTTCTTTTTGGGACTACACCAGCGGATAATTAGATCGATATATTTAGAACTAATTCATTTACAAAATCAAAATTTCGACAAAGTTACACATGAAGAAGAAATACGGTGAATAATGGAACGTTGAAATGAAATAGACAGGACATATACTGGCCTCGGAGTTCAGCATTTCGAGATCGGAGTAACGGAAGGAAAGGCGGCATTACCTTTGGCAGGATAGAGGGCGAGAGGCAGCAGCAGGAGGGGAGCCACAAGGTACAGCTGGGTGTCCACGGCGGTGTACCAGCACTG